AGAATAAATCGAACCAATTTTTTCTCTGACAAAGTTCAAAATATTCTTGTAAAGAGAACAAACTCTTTTCTTGAGTACATAATAATGGGCTTTTCCAAAATTTACGATGAGTATATTTTAAGCCTATAATCAAAACAATATTCTTCATTGAAGATAACGTGTGCTCAAAGGAAAGTACTCTTTTAAAATGAATCAGTGAACAGTCACTGATATCAGTTATGATTATAGCACTGAGCAGTTTCAGTGCTATACTTATAAATGCAAATCAGAGTATATTCACTGCTTTCAATGATGTTTCACTGATTTATTTTAATAGAGTAAATAAACTGTCTAACTATGATCGCTATAAATGAAGTCACTTTTCTTAGCAGTGGAATGGTATTCTTCTATAACGCAATATCTCTCGGGAATTAATCTCTCGATCGTTCGACTTTATAAATCAACAAGTCAACAAGTCAATTGCTCGCGCTTCTACCCTTCTAGTATGCTTCGAGAGAGCGCGTCGTAGCGCGGAAACCCCGAAGCGGCCCTGGAAATATTTACGGTCTTCGCAACACGCATCTTGAAAGATCCATGTGATACCGTTCCCTCTTTTTCTTTCCTTTTCTCAGACGTTTTTCTCCATGACCGCAGATCGAGCACGGCGAGGTGGAAAGTCGAGAGGAGAGGTTGCGAGTATACGTTTAACGTTTTCACATTGTTGCTCATCGCGTGGGGCATGCGAGATAGATGTTTTATTACAACTACCTCGCCCGGTGTCGTCGGCTCCCCGTCAATCATTTTTCCTTGCGAAAGCGTAATTAAGACCACGCCGTAAATGGCATCGCGAAATTACGTAAGCAGCAGAGAGGAGAGAGAGACAAAGAGAGAGAGAGAGAGAGAGAGAGAGAGAGAGAGAGACCTGTCATTACTGTGGCGCGCGGAGGTAACGCGAATTACACAAAATTTTGACAAAATTTGACTTTTTTTTCCTGCGATGATTACAGCTACTATTTTTTAGTAAATTCGAGGTCGCTGAATCCAAATCCACTAACAAACAATGCCCATCACATCAGGTTTTTGAGATAAATCCAGTAATATGGATAAAAAAACTGCGTTTTTTGCCATATTTCCCAATTTTTTATGGCCAAATAAAATTTTATTTTCCAATTTCATTGACGCCACTTCAAAGTGCTATTTTTCACCTTTAAAACTAATTTTTATTTTTTACTGTCCGATTTTTTTCACCGAGTTATGAACATTTTCCAAAATGTAAAATTTGACACTTTTATAAATACTAAGTTTTATGCTCCTCCGTTAAAATTTATCAATTTATTCCACCACGTTGAGTCTGCCATTTTGAATTTCGTCTTTTTAAGTTCAGATTCATAAGCAGCGACTCCAAAAACCTCGAGAATTGACTTTGACTTGAATCGAGTCACTTTTCTTATTTCAGTCCGCCATATTGGATCTGCCATTTTAAATTTTGAAATTTTGAGTTCAGATTTGGTATTAGCGACCCTGAAAACCCTAGGATACCCAATTTCATACAAATCCATCTACTTTCTAGTTTCAATCAGCCAATTTGGATCCGACATTATTTACATTTTTGAAAACGTTTATAAGTCTCTGAAAAAAAATCGTACAGTAAAAAATAAAAATACGTTTTACAGGTGAAAAATAGCACTTTAAAGTGGCGTCAATGAAATTGAAAAATAAAATTTTTTACGTGATGGGTATTTTTTACTGGCAGATTTGGTTTCAGCGACCTCGAGTTTATTAAGAAATACTAGTCTTTGTTGCCGCATATTTTTTTGTTGAACTGTGTTATTCGTTAGTTTAACAAAAGCAGACTTTTGTCTGCGTAGACTTTTTTCCGCGCACTGAGACTCGGCGCTCGTCTGCGTTCTCCTCATCATCATCGGCGCGGTGATTAATTCTGCGCCTCACAGAGCTGGTCTCGGTGTTTTCTCACGGCTGAGCGTCGTTCACAAGGATTGCGAAAAAGTCGCTTAAAACCGCCCGCGGAAAATTGCGGCTGCGTACCGCGTGTGAGTTGCGTCGGTGACATTTACGTACGTCCGCCTCGCCGTCATTAGTAATTGGAAATGTTACGGTACGCTTATTTTCGTACTCGCGGTTGCTGTCCTATTACTCGAGAAATTGTCATGCATACCGCCTCAAAAGCGCAGCACGTCGCTGATTGTCCGTTATTTCACGTCGGTATTAATTGAAAATCTCGGCGCAAAAGTGATTAGCCTCGCTTCTCCGACACGCGCGGTTAGCCACGTCGGTGTGTGAAAAGCCGCATTTTTCCGTTCGGCGGAAAGTGGTTTTGCTGCTGTGCGACTCGCATTGTAATTTCGGGACGGGACGGGACGGGGGACAAACCATCTACTTTCCAGTTTCAATCAGCCAATTTGGATCCGACATTATTTACATTTTGAAAAAGTTTATAAGTCTGTGAAAAAAAATCGCACAGTGAAAAAATAAAAATACGTTTTACAGATGAAAAATAGCACTGTAAAGTGGCGTCGATGGAATTGAAAAATAAAATTTTGTTTGATAACAAAAAACTGGTAAATATGGCAAAGAACGCAGTTTTTTACCCATATTACTCGATTTATCTCAAAAACCCTTCCACTCGGGACGAATCTTCGTTCCACGAGGAGAATTGCCGCGAGATCGCCGCGAGTTTTCTCGAGAGCTCGTGGTCTCACGGTTCTCGCTAATGTCACACCTGGTAACGTCGCTTTACGCTCAATTTTTCTTCGGCCGAGTAATAAGCTGCAGCCGATTAAAAGTCGATAACTTGTTCGTCAAAGTTTGACTCGACAGAGCTCACGCGATCGAGTCACGGTGTGCGCACGCAAACCGTGTGCGGCGAGCACACACAACCACGGCAATAAATTTTTCCTTTCCGCGGCCGTAATTTAATCGAGCCGCTCGACGGCTCCGCTCGGCCAGTGGAAGAGAAGAATCGCTTTCCTTCCGGAGACGCTCGGGGAAGCGGAAGGTGGTGATTCTGGAAAAGTTGATTAAAAACACCGCGGGCTAATCGGTTATTTTGCATTTATATTAAATTAGCGCATCGACTTTGCAGACACGTCTCACGCTCGGCGCAAGAGAGAAAGAGAGAGAGAGAATGAATGAGTGAGTGAGAGTGCGGGGAAGAGAGGGAGGGAAGATTGCTGCGAGTGAATTAATACATACGCAATCTGGAATAATTACCGCAAAAAAGGTAGAAATAAATATAGGAGAGTTAGTTAACCAATTATATAATATAATTAACAATTAAAATATCACGATGCTAACCGCGATTAATCGCTAGTATATATGAAGAAAATATTGTAATGCAAATATTATGGAAATTATGTTAAAATTATACGTCATTTTACAATGTTTTTTGTAAAGTAATATAATCTGGGATACTTTAAAAAATATTTTTCAAATAAAAATACATATTTCTTTAAAATCTTTAAAATATGTTTCACGAAAGCAATTGTTTATTCTATTTAAAAGATTTTATTTTTTTATTTCTTAGATATTTTTTTTCTTAATATAATAAATTTTACTATGAATTTATTACATTTTGCTAGAAAAATAATACTAATTTACTAGAAATTTGCAAAATTTTTTAATAGCACATTTTAAATCCTAAAATGTAAATTGCATACGCGCGAAGAGAATTTAATAATAAAAGTTGCTACAGAATTTTATAAAGAAGGAATGGATTGATATCTTTCACAGCAATTTATTACTTTTCACTGCGTATATACTATATATTTTTTAGAACCTGAGATGTTCTATTAAAAAATTTTCTATGTTTCTAACAAGATTCGCTGTTTCTCAAAATAATTGACCTTACTAACATAATTTTTTAGACCTTGTTAACAATAATTTTATAGAAAAAATTATTACACATAGAAAACAAATTTAATCGGATTAAGCAAATATCTGGTGAAATATGAATAAACCAGAAATTCCGGTTGAAATTACCAGAATTCAGTTAACAAGATTTTTGTTAAGCAGAATTATTTTGTTGCAGGATTTGCAACTGTTCCATTTGGAGTAGAAATCTTGTTTGGTCAATCATAATTTTATCATAATCTTGTTAATCTTGTTAATCTTATTAATCTTGTTTTGTGAGCAGAATTCTGTTAACTTCAATCGTAATTCTGGTACGTTCATGTTTGTGTAATCATTTTTACTATAAAATTCTACTACTATCTGTCATATATTATTCTCTGAAAGTGCTATAAAAATATGAGACGCAAAATATATTTTCTATCAATCCACAAAAATATCAACATAGGTTGCGCGATTAGCGACAGCAAACTGAAAAATTCTTGTATTTGGAACTAAAATATTTGATAAAATATATAACTTGATTGGCATTACACGTTTTTTTACTTGTGTCAAATGTATCTATTATTGAGAAAGTAAAATGCCCATAGCGACAATAAAATTGTTTAGATGCGATTACCAAATATTTGATTGACCCCGTTTTAACCAAACTATGATTCGGTGTGCCAAATTTTCGTTTCGACAAGAAAATCCTTTTTTCAACGCAGCATGAAATTTCTCACGTTTATCAATGCTATTTTCCTTATCACTGCATTTACATTAAAACCAATCTTTCCTGGCTAACCAGCAGTTTTCATACAGTGAAATCTTTTTTAACCGTTATCACTAATGCAACTGTATTCGTCCGCGCGTGTCGAAAGCGCGTTTAATGGGAGGCCAAGTAATTAATAGGCGGTAGATGTGCCGCGACAGAAATTCTCAGCGACGCCCGTGAGTCGTGATATACCGACGTTAGAAAATACGTGACCTCCGAAACAGGTTGTTGCGACGAGTGAACAAGCCGAACGAGGCCGGGATCTCCGCGGCTTCTAACGGCGACGAATTCTCGCGATTAATCGGCGATAGAGCGTAACGGCGATTTATCATTGTCCGACTTTACGCTCGCAAGACCACACGCCGCGGTCAATTTTGACACTCCACGTTTGTTTTTGCAGGCAGCGTCAAGACGTCGTTACAGGCAGGAAGCGATTTCAACGTCACGTGGCACCTCGCCTATCCTCACAGGGTGAGTAAAACTCCCGCGCGAGAGTTCTTTGAACTTTTCTTTCTTCTTCTTCTTTTTCCCCCGCGTGACACGAGACTTCAAGCCTGTCTCACGTGCAGCAGAAGGATGCGTTGTCGCTCCGCAGAATGCATTAGAGCGGACAAAGCGGCGGTTGTGATTGTAAATATTCAGTTTGCACGGAACACCGACCGTAAAAGGAATCGTAATACCGTGAAAAATTAATTCAGATCGAACTGCCGGAATTAACTCGGCAGTGGAATAAGAACGAAGAAGAAGAAGACACTTGTAGAAAGCGTTCGGGAAATTAAGGAGATGTTCTAGCGTTTGACCCGATAAAAGATCAATTTATAATATATATATGATACGAAAGTCGATCGAGCTAAGAACGCGTAACAGGAATTTCAATAATCCTTTACCGTATCGTTGTAAATATCGAGGTATTTCATTGTAAATTTCTATTGTACAGAATCACATATGTACAATGTTTGTAATAGAACGAATTTCTTCTAATTTGTTTCTTTTTAAGTAAAAAATCACAAGTGTGTTATTTTATATTAAAATAATACTCTTGTGACATATTTATGACCGCACATATTTTAATATAAAATAATACACTTGTGGCATATTTATGACCGTACATACGACGCAAGTTTAAAAAACTCGTAATGATAAAATGAATATTTAAACATATTTATAAAACACATATTTATATAACAGAAATATAATAAAACAATAATGAAACACTGAGAGCAAATTGTTTCTTTTTAAGTAAAAAATCACAAGTGTTATTTTATATTAAAATAACACTCTTGTGACATATTTATGAGCGCACATATTTTAAGGAGATTAAGGAGATTAAGGAAGTTCTTGCATTGCTCTCAGTGTTTCATTATTGTTTTATTTCTGTTATATAAATATGTGTTTTATAAATATACAAACAACTTGTGACATATTTATAACCGTACATACGACGTAAGTTTGAAAAACTGTCGTAATGATAAAATAAATATTTAAATATATATTTATATAACATATTTATAGAACATATATTTATATAACAGAAATAAAAAATAATGAAGCACTGAGAGCAACGCAAGAACGGGAATTTCTCGAATATCGAGCACGACTCTTATCAAAATAATTTCCTCGATAGCACGTTCAGTTTTCTTGTCCCAACGCGGAGTTATTCGTACCAGCACGCACAGCTGGACTCACTTTAGGATAGTGATTAAAATTTTTGTCCCGCGCCACGCTCGGCCGGCGTTCGCGATAAAATCGAGCGATTTGAACGCTCGCTCCGCCGCCAGCTCGCGCGACAAGAAGGAAGAACGAGGTGTTCCTCAATGAACGCACAAATTATCATTGGTGCGGTCACCAGCTCAGATTTATCGTGTTCTCGCGCGGAGAAAGGAAAACGCGAGCGCCGTCGCCGTCGGCATTAATTCCTCGTGCGCGCGCGTTACACATCCGCGCGCTTTGAAGCGCGGCCCGGCCGTTTAAAAGTCGCGTTAGAGCGGTTACGCGAGGATAAAATCGTGCCTAGTGTTTTATTATTTCACGTTCCGGGCTGCTTTCTCCGCCGGTGAACTTCCCGGCCTCCTCCTCGCAGGCGCAGGCCGGCGCGGACGCAATGCGTTCGACATAATGGGGCATTCTTCGTGGTACCCGCGCCATACATTCGGCATTCTGAGGCCTATCACGCGGTAATTAACCCTTTCGTGCCGCGCACCCGCGGTGAGTCGTAATGACGGCCGTCCGCGCAGCAGCACTTCTGGGAGCGCGGCTAAAATTAGACTTTACGCAACACTCCCGGGCGATTAAATCTAGATTCAAATCCGCGGCCATTTAAATCGCCGCTCATGTGTGCGTGTGTATCGATTAGGAGCGCGCGATCTTATTGAACGCACGATTCCTACGAGGCCCGCTCGAGCGAAGGAGAAAGCTTTACGAGTCTATGGGAGAAAGCATTATCGGTGTATGAAGCGTTGAAGATTGACGAGGCAAGCGCTCGTGTTATCGAAACTTCGTTGGACTGTGAACGCTAGCATCGCGCAACGTGAGTCCATCGAAAGCGATTTTTACCATTTCCCCGATCGACCAAAGGGAAGAGAGAGAGAGAGAGAGAGAGAGAGAGAGAGAGAGGGTTTTATGAGCGCACGCGGAAAGGCGTTGAGGAAATTACGGGAAATTACGTGCTATCAAAAAATTACAGGATCATAAACGATGCACAACGATTCTTTATTAAAATTCCGAAAGTGAGAGGGAGGGAAACCTTTACGAGCCTTCGCGGAAGGCATTACCGCGCTGCTCGGATCACGCGTCATCAATCGTTCGCAATCAAAAGCTTAGAAGGTCGTAAACCTCTAGTGTCTCATTATCATAATTTCTGATAATCGGCCATATTTTTATTGTACTCTCTTTATTACCGCCATTATTTTCCTCCCAATCAGTCCTCTCATCATCCCATCCGCGATCAGGTGATCCGCCTCATATTAAGCGAGTGCAAAAAGTTGCACTGAGAAAAAAGTTTGATATTTGCTAATTATAATTACATAGAAAATAATTATAGTAAATTGTGGCAAGGCAAACTATATTTTTATTAAATTCTAATATAATGTTAATGATAATACAATCTTATATGCATATTACTATTATTATTTCCGTATTAGAACAAACGAGAAATATGATTGAGACCAAAAATAATTATAATTTTTTTGAATCGACTATTTCTTTCTCTCAATGTATATTTATCATATCAAAGAAAACATAAAATTATGTGGTCTTCAAGCTAATTTTTATTCATCAGAATAGACGTCATTATTATTCGAAAGTGGCTCACCAGAAATTGACCAAAAAACAGCACTTTTGGGGTCACCAGAAAAAAATGTTTCTCGTGCATGATAACGCGCGTTATTAGAATTCAGAATGTATTTTGAATAAATTTGATTAGGATGAACTTAGTTCAGAGAACACAAACTTTCAAAAGATGTCTTAAAGATGTCAAAAAAAAGTTCTATTTCACTTATACATTTTTAAGAAGTTTGTGCTGTCTTTGGAATAATAAATTTGCAGATATATAAAATTATGGAATACTTTAAACAACTAATCTTTATTTTAATGCAGTATATATTTTTCTTTCTCTGTAGCGCGCGAGAATGACTTCCCATAAACTTCAAAAACCTAAATTTAACACATTACCTCATTCACCGTGTTCCCTGGATCTTTTATCCACTGATTATCGTCTGTTTAAACATTCCAACCGGTTTTTAAAGAACAAAATTTTGCAACAGAACTGAACAGCTATTGAAAACGTCACTATGGAATTTATAACTTCTGAGAACTCAGAGTTGTTTTAAATGTGACATACAAAAACTTGTTTCTAAATAAAAAAAAAGTGTATTTAAGTCATCCGTGACTATTTTAATCGATAAAAATTATTTGGAAGATCCTAAAATTGCAACAAAACTTTGTGATTTTGAAGCATACGGAAAAATTATGATCGAGATTATTATATATTTGTTAAAAAATGTTATGCACGTTTGACTTTTTGTTACAAAATTAATATTATTATTTGGATGTTTTTTATATCGTATATAAAGTAAATCGTCGAATTTATTATTTTTAGTAGTAGTAGTATATACTACAATGCTAGAGTATAGTCCAACTTTATGGAAAATATATGCTGCTAACTACTGTGTATTGCATCACATAATACCAGGATTGGATAAGTTAACTTTTTTTTTAACTAAGTTAAGTTGAAGTTAATGGCTTTGAAAATTTAACTTAGTTAAGATAAAGTTAATCTATAATAAAATTAATTGAATTACAAATTAAGTTAAAAAGAAGTAATTAAAAAGTTAAAAGTTAAATTTGCTTCATTTCATGACTTCAGGGTTTCAATTTTACAAATAACGGAAAAAACAAATATACATCTTATTTGGAAACATGTTTTATTTACAGATACTTATTAAATTTAAATAATAAAGTTTTTTCGAAATTTTTATCGGACATTTTTCCTCGAAGTTTGTCAAAAATAAGCCCTCTTGCACTGAACAGTCTTTCGACGTCTCACGACATCTTTATGGCATGGTTAACTTTTAGGCTGCCGGCATTTTTCACTAAAAGTGTTTTTTTTCTTAAAAATTTTTCTATATAAGTAACATATACATGACGCAGAATTTTGAGATTTGTGCAAAGCCACAAAAGTGGCCTTCCCGGTAGTCTAAAGGTTAACTTCAAGATAATTGAATTAAAAGTTAATAGTTACCGATAAAATGTAAATTAAGTTAAACATTAAGAGTGTAAAAATGTAACTAAGTTAAGTTAAAGCTATTTAATTTTTTAACTTTTTAACTTTTAACTTTTTAACTAGTCACTACCCAACCCTGCATAATATTATATTGAAACTGACACACACTGTAAAATGAAACATAATCCAAACGTAATATTTGTGTGATAATTAATACTTTTTCAAAATTAGGCAAGGTGAATACATTTTTTCTTGTTCCTATCTTTATTGACCCGTTGGTTTTGAAATTTCTAGTTGCAATTTCTCTTTAGTTGGCACTATTCTCTTCTTAGTTAAATGAGTGTTTATTGTATTTGACTAAGATATCGCTAACTTTAATAAAAATATTTAGAAACCTTAAAACAAGAATAATTTGTCTTTTCTTTCACATGAAAGATATGTGACAACCAATTCTGGAGGATAGATAATTACATTTGCACGACTTTGCTTACAACTGAATAATTTTTTTATATATAAATGATATAATATTTTCAATATTTAACGTAAAGGAG